GAGGGGAGGAAAAAGCCAAAGGAAGTCAGCTCCTGGGAGAAGCGGCAGTGGGAGGGGAGGCGGCGTGAGGTGGGAGGAAGAGGAGGAGGAGTGGGGGGAGGGGGAGAAAGAAGGTGCTAGAGGAGCAGGTGGGAGCCTGACCGGACCCTGAGAAGGCTGGAGGAGACTCCCCAGAGGAGCAGGACGGGGAGGAGGAGGAGGGGAGGGCAGCGGCAATGCTGAATGGAAGGAGCACTGAGAAAGTTATGGGGGCAGGGAGAGGGCACTGGCATTCTGGTGAAGGCAATGCGGCAGGCCCCCTCCCCTCTGCACCCCCCCCTGGGGGGGGTGGGGACAGTGAAGTGTCTCTTGTGGGCTCTCTCCAGAGGAAAAGAGGGATGTCCGAGAAGGAAGCGAGGAAGAAAGGGCAGGAAGGGAATGAGGAACGTTGGCTGGGTGAGGTCAGAAAGACCGACCATGCCAAGGAGGAGACGCTCCAGGAAGAGGGGGAAGGGAAAAGGGACCAGCCTGCCACACGGGGGCCTGGGCAGCACTGGCTGAGGGAAGATACTTGCCCGGGGAATAAACGAGCCAGGTTGCCAGGGTGGAAGCCGGGGTCCCGGCTAAGGAGAGCTGATGGGCTGGTGGAGGGGAAGGGGAAGACAGGGAGAAACATGAGCGCGGGAGGAGAAGAGATAGAAACGAGATGAACCTGGGAGAAGAGACCAGAAAAGGACGAGAATCGAAGCAGTGGACAATGCTGACCATGTGGATAGAACTCGAGCGTTCCACAGGGTGGAGGGCAGCGTGGGGCTTCCCAAGGGCCCAGGACAGGGTGACAGTATGGGAGAGGGCGGGAAGTGGGCCACTGCTAGGCCCAGCTATTGAAGGGTTCTCCGAAAATAGAGGTGGAGGCAGCAGCAGGTTTTGATCCAGGCGCAGAGTGAGCAGGGGAGGAAAGTGTGTGAGTGATTCGATAGTACCCATCCCAGGGATCACCGCTTGCCAGGATCTGCACACAGATGAGCCAGGCAGGCCCCTGTGGATAGGAGCCATGACTGATGTCCATGACTGGTGCAGCGACAGCATGGAGCTGGGTATAGGCACTCAGTAGTGAGTGAGTGAATGGATTGGGACATAAATAAGGTTCTCCTGGGTAGCAGAACCCTCACACGTGGACCAGTAGGTAGCATCATGATGAACGGAGAAAAGACTGAAGTTGTCAAGGATCCCATCTTGCTTAGATCCACCATCAATGTTCATGGAAAAGCAGCTGTCAAGAGACCATACGATGCATTGCATTGGGTCAATCCGCTGCACAAGACCTCTTTAAAGCGTTGAAAAGCAAGAACGGTACTTTGAAGACGAAGGTGTACCTGACCCAAGCCATGGTATTTTCAATCTCTCCTATGCATGTGAAAGTTGGACATTGATTAAGGAAGACCAAAGCAGAATAGATGCGTTTGAATTATGGTATTGGTGAAGGACAATGAAAGTGCCACTGACTGCCGAAAGGACAAACAAATCTGTCTTGGAAGAGGTACAGCCAGAATGCTCCTCAGAGGCCAGAAAGGCGAGACTTCATCTCACATGCCTCGGGCATGTTGTCAGGAAAGACTAGTCCCTGGAGGAGGGCATCGTGCTTGGTAAAGTGGAAGGGCAGTGACAAAGGAGAAGACCTTCGACAAGCTGGATGGGCACCGTGGCTGCATCCATGGGTTCAAACCTTAAGAACAATTGTTAGGATGACGTAAGACCAGGCCGTGTTTCCTTTTGTTGTACGAAAGGTTGCTATGAATCAAAACTGATAAAAAACAACAACACGGGTGACATTCAAAGCCAAAGCCCTGGGCAAAGGCTCTCTCTGGACTGGCCACTCACTAACTGGCCTGGCAGCTCAGGGTGCCTAGTCCTGGGAAGACCAGGCTGACGCCTCTCTAGCCCCAGAGGATTTGGAAAGACCTGCCACAGCCACTGGTGAGATGCTACCTTCTTTGTCCACCCCCCTGCTGGTGACCTTCTGATCACATCAGCCCTGCTCCCTAGAGGCTTTCTCCTCTCTCAGCCATCTCACCATGCCCACCTATGGCACCCTGACCGAAGGACAGAGAACACCAGGTTCCCAAGTATGTGTAGAACTTAACACCCCCACCACCACCACCCCCAACCCCCGTGCAGCTGTAGAACTGCCCCCCACAGCAGGTGGCCCAGGCTGCTTGGGAACCAGGCCTAGAGACGGACGGCCTTGACTCTTGTACTCCCCGCCGCCCCAGCCAGAGAGGACAGCTGGGATGAAATGGGTCTGCCTGTCAGTGAGGAGGAGCTGGTTTCAGAGAGAGCCTTTTCTAAAAAAAAAAAAGTAGAAGGATGCCCTTGGCTTCACCTCTACAGGTAAGCAACTGAGGCCTTGTCAGGAGTCCAAGAAGAGGGCGGGAACATGTGGCTGGAGGTCCTGGGCCCACACCCACACCACGTTTAGGAACTGCAGTCAG